GTAACTGAATGCATTCCCAAACTTATTTGGAAGTACATGTAAACGATTTTAAAGCATTCAAAGCTGCTTGGCTATCAGAAAAAAATGCATAGATTTGCATGTTTATATTTTCGCTTTAAACACACAATAGTGCACTCTAGTATGGCTTGAATTTCAGCCTGAAAAACGGTTGGCCATCCACCCATAGAAACTGAAATATTAACACCAGGACCTGTCACACCAGCTCCCACTTTATCATTTTGTTTTGATCCATCAGTAAAGAATACAACTGATCTTGGGTGGATTTGTGGTCCTCCCGCACTCCAGAGAGAGCGGTCTGGTTGTACCACATTGAATAGTCGACTAAAATTGAATTTTGTCTCCATCCAATCATTACTGACTGCAACTAATGGATTGATTCGTATGTGTTTTAATATATGTAGGTGACCCTTAATGTTCCCTTCAAACAAGGTTTTAGTTCGCTTAAGTCTTAGTGCGCTCTTTTCAGCATCTAATTGCACAAATTGGTGTAGTGGAAGAAGATTTAGTATCGCATCTAAGGCTTTCGTAGGTATGCAACGCATCGCGCCTGTTGTAGATACCGTAGCCAGTCTTTGCAATTTTTCTAGTTTGTTTATTGCACACTTTTCCTTAGTTTTTGGCCACATAGTCCCACAGTATTTCAAGCAGAAATTCAAGCAAGCATTGAATGTGTGAATATCTGCCTAATAAGGAAATACAGCTTCCCTGCGCTTCGGTCAGAGAGTGTATAGGGTGTCGTAATGTACTTTCGCAGATTGCCCGAAGTTGCGATAGTGAAGGTATGATCACAGACAAGCAGACATAACACTCTTAAAACGTTCATCGAAATCGTTTTTAACGGTCAATTTAAATTTTTATTAGTTGGTAGTACCGCCACTTGTGGTGCACATAATCAATTCCCTAGCATTTGACGTTTACACACTACAACCATTTGTTGAGTGTATTGTGTATTTATACACACGACAGATGGCGGAAGGGTTTACAAAGATAAATGTTCAATGTGTTGTGTCTGCTTGTCTGTGATATAACATTGAGGTAACGTAAGGATAAAATCAAAACATTGAGAAATATAACGCATCACTTTCAGAAATACTTGACTTCGCATATATGAACCATTCTGACGGCCATATGAGTACCCAAATAACCATATAGTCGCAATATAGCTTGTATATTCTTACTTTGCTTGAGTATGGTTAGTTGGGGAATCTGATGAAACTGTCACTTCTTGAAACTGATCCCTTTCGTATTTCTTTCATTCTCTTTTCACACACGGAGCGCTCGGTGGACCAGCGACTTTGGACGTGAGCCTCGTCCCAGATCACCATGGCAATTCAATGACATATGGTGGACATGAAACCGACGGAATCATATTAGAACCAACCAAGGACGATCTACGGAAGGAAATTGCCGGTGAAGCACGGAATGAAATACGAAGCGTTAGAGAAAAAGTCCAAGGGATTCCAAAAGAAGCAATTAACGACGGCGGAAGAGCAGAATATGGTGAGAGCTTTCCAATTATTTAAAAAAAAAATATCAAGATGAAACTAAATACATGCCAGGTTTGAAAAAAATATTTTCGAATATCCAATATCCATTTGATAACGGTGATGCATACATGCGGGGCTCATAGTGAGAGAAAGTAACCCCGGAATGGGCGTGGCTCTCAAGACATTTTGAAATGGGTTGCTGGATCTGCAATTGAGCTATCACCTTCTAACTACCGGACTAAATCTGTCTACAATGACCATAAATGCGACATTGTAGAAAGAGTTCTTCCATAATAACACTGCACAATAAAGAAATACAGCTTTGCTAAGATCTGTATATTCTCGGAAAGCCAGGCAGCTCTTAATGCGCTCAAGGCGTTTACATGTCGATCAAAGCTAGTGTGGGAATGCATGTTACATTATACCGGTCATTGTGGTATAGAAGGAAATGAAAATGCAGACAGTCTAGCTTCAACATCGAGCTTCATCGGTCCGGAACCATTTTGTGGAGTCCCTGAGTGCGCTCTAAGGATGGAACTAAGAACTAGAGAATCGTCTATAGTAGAATCTAATTGGAATGCCACGGATACATCCAGACAAGCCAAAAGATTTATAACACCGAACGCTGTCAAAGCTCGGATCTTACTTAATCTTAGGAAAACGGATCTTCGGTAATAACTGGTCTAATGACTGGTGACTGCCCTAGCAGATATCGCTTCAATAAAATTGGAAGAAAATCAGTTTAGCGGCTGTCGTTTTTGTCATTTTGAAAACAAAACTGCTGAACATATACTCTGCAATTGCGGAGCACTGTTCAATCAAGGAATATCAATATTTGGAAAAGGGCTATTAGAACCCTTCTAAATTTGGCAAATTAATCCCAACAGGGTATTAGACTTTATAAAACGAGTTGAGCCTAAGTGGGACTGCATGCTATGTCAACCAATGTCTATCACACCTTAATTGATGAATTTAGATGGTCAAGTTTTGAACCCATCACAATATGCTTTTGGCGCTACTGTATATGGACGATCAAATGTAATATACAGTGGTACTGGTAGCCACAGCATAGTTCCGTCAAAACCTCAGCATTTTCATGGATCCATTGTGAAAAAATATGCGACTAGCACCACATTAAATATGCGTCAAACAACAATATTCCTAAGTAATGGGCGCAGTTGTAAATTTGCTCTACAGACAAGAAAAAAAAAAGAAAATGGGATACAGATTACAGCAGATTGTAACGAACAAATAACTTTTCATGAATCAATATTTTCGTGCAAAACCTTCACAAGATAACAAATATGTGAACATTTCATATAATTTATTGAAAAGTCAAATGGCTACATTGCTTAATCTGTATATTAGGGTGGGTCAGGTTTTTATGGTGGATCACAACTCCCTGTTCGCTACTGCTCTTCCGATGTGTATTGAGGTCTCCAACAACGATGTCAAATTTGAACGAATTTGTATGGGAAAATGTATGGAAAACGAAACGAACCTATTTATTTCCTTGCCCACAAATACAAATATTGCTCAAATTTCGGAAATAGATTGGGAATGCTATGCAGAATAATTTTGTCGAAGACGATTCTGAGCAAATGTTATTATATTAATTTAGACCTATTGCTCCGCGCATACCTACAAGTGTATGTATGAGCTTGTAGGTACGAGTGGAACACTTGGTCTAAAGTGAATGATTAGTAACTTTTTGTACAAAGATCAAATCGATTTGCAGTCTTCGATAAAGTTGTTTCGTATAGTATTCTCAATCTAAGTCCGAGATTTGGTGAAATCGTAAATTAACAGGATCGTTCCGTTTCTCATAGATTTTCCCACACAAAATTAAAAAATCTCCCGCAAATCGAGATTATAACCAAATTTGTTCAAATTTTGCACAGTTTTTGGGGACCTCAATACGCATTGAAACAGCAGTGGGGAGCAGAGGGGTTGTAAAGTTGACGCACCCTACTTTATATGCGGTGATTTATTACAAACTCTGTTCATCTATCTTTCCTACAAAACGGTAAGAGAGTCTTACATTCTTTCCTTGGGTGTAGAAATTTAACATTCAACCGTTGCATCTACTCTGCGGATCAACACAATCCACCAACAGCAGTCAATTACAGGTCTTCATTTAGGAAAACAACGTCACCAACTGAGCAACACATCGAAGACAACGACGACGACGACGAAGACACGATATCATTGTCATATTTGCGTTTTAGCATTTCATCCATCCGCTTTCGCATTATTCTTTTCGATTCCCGCAGTCGCAATCGTGAACCAGTTTTGAACCTAAAACAAAAATGAACGAAGATATTCGAGTTGCACCTGCCACCACCCGTATGATTATGATCGCTTGTTTTTTTTTTCTCGAGGTCGCTTTTGCCATCGCACACCACAAGAGTAGAGCCATCGAACGAGTTCGTAGCAGCTTTCTTACAGACTATCTTACTTGCTAGTGGGAAGGAGGATTCTCAACGGGATGGGTAGGTCGTTAGACCCCTGGAAAGTGCGGATAGGGAGCATAAAAAACTCAAAATAATAATCGAAAGACGGGATTCTTGCGGGTGATGGGAATGAACTAAAAAAATACTAACTGAAAAGATGTTTTGAAAATTTTGAAACCCAAAAACGAGCGCCGTGTGAGAAGCAGAAGGATCAGAGGATCGCCGCACCGTACAACCCATCCCTACCGAAGCTGTCGTCCATCCCGTAAGTCTGCCCATCGGTGGTAGCCCACTCGATGATCTCAACGTGATCCGCTACGAAGGAAGGGATCTGACACTTGAACAGCGCGGTGTTGCCCTTGATGACAAACACATCGTACACCTGTGCTTCGTAGTACTGGTTCACCACTGGAAAGAGGGGTAGATGAAGGATAGAGTAACTCAAACGAATTGGATAGTGTCTGGGGACAAGGGAGAAGATGAGCTGCAATCCATGTACCGGTAACATCGTTCATCTCGATCTCCGTGCCGTCGTCCGCTACCCACGAGGTTACGCTAATGAAGTCAGCGATAAACGAAGGGATCAAGTACTTCAACAGGGCAGAATTTCCGTTCAACACGTATTCGTCGATCACTCGAGTTTTGTAGAACTGATGAACCACTGCAAAACAAAAGGGGCGACGGATGGTTAGACGGGGAGGACGACAACTCAAAAAGCTACGGGGATAGGATCGCTGGATGGGTTCGCAGGACTAGAATCTAGAACCTAGCAAATACCGATGTCGGCGTTGTTGACATGGTACTCTTCACCGTCGTCCGCAATCCAGGCATCGACGTACACAAAGTCCGATATGAAAGACGGGATCAGACACTTTAGCAGCGCAGAGTTTCCATTCAGGACAAACTCATCGGTCAAGCGGGTTTGATAGAACTGATGAACGACTGGAGAAGGATTAAATTGATCGTGATTAACTAGATGAAACGATAATTTGGGTGGGGAGTGGGAACAGGATAAACGAGTTCTAGCGAGCGGACGAACCCAAAGATTCCATATCGATGGTAACGACCTCGTCGTCAATTTCCCAAGAATCGATGGTGATGAAGTCTTGCAGAAACGACGGAACCAAGCACTTCATAATGGCAGCATTTCCGTTTAGGATGAAGTCGTCGTTAACTCGGATCTGGTAGTGTTGGTGGACAACTAAAAAATCGATAACAGAAAGAACTAATCTCAAGAACAAGAATCAAGGAGTCAAGGATGGTAGGGATCTTTCTGAATCTCGAAGAAGGACTACCTAGACTACTATCGTCACCCGGATAGTACTCATTCCCATCGGAATCGAACCACAAATCTACCGCAACGAAGTCCGCTACGAACGATGGAATCTCACACTTCATGATGGCAGAATTACCCCGAATTACGTACTCGTTGTCCGCCTCGGCTTCGTAGCTTTGAATGACCACTGAAATTGTCGATGAAAGGGAGGAAAGCGTGAGAGGTACAGAACTCAAAATGCAGGATTCAGGGATATGCGGAATTGAGGAAGACGGAGTCTTCCTAACCATGTTCTTCGGCGTGGCTAGACAGTCGGTATTCTTCGCCGGAGTCGTCGATCCACGACTCGATAAACACGAAATCGGCGATGAAGGAAGGAATCTTGCACTTCAAGATGGCGGAGTTACCCCGGATTATGTACTCGTTTTCGGCTTCGGTAATGTAGTGCTGGTTGACGACTGTACCAAGGGAAGAGAAATCAACCATACAGAAGGATTGTACAAACATAAAACAGTACGGAAGCAGGACAGGATCGCAGAGTATTAATCAATGTTCAATAACCGAATTCTTGCGCGTCGTAGTGGTACTCGTTGCCATCGCTGTCGATCCAAGCTTCGACAAACACGAAATCCGCTATAAAAGACGGAACTTTGCACTTCAGGATGGCAGAGTTACCCCGGATTACGTACTCGTTCTCGCCGTCCGTTTGATAGTACTGATTGACAACTGGAAACGGGGGAAAAAAGCGGGAAAGGTTGAACTCAATTCAGGGCTAGGGATATTCAAGGACCGGAGAACGCGCAACAATCACCAGCTCTGGAGTCATCTTCGTGATAGCGGTACTCATTCCCATCGCTATCCAACCAAGTTTCGACAAAGACAAAATCAGCGATGAACGAAGGAATCTTGCACTTGAGGATGGCGGCGTTTCCACGAATGATGTACTCATCCTCGGAACCGGTTTGATAGAACTGATTGACCACTGCGTGGAAGAAACCGAAAAATTTACGCTAAATGGGATGATTTAAATCATAAATATTGTTTCAAAGGAAAGCAGGAGGAGAATTTCTTTCAACCGCACCACGGAGCGAACCCTAACCATAGTCTTCCGATTGAGTCATCTTCGTTCCGTCCTCGTCGATCCACGATTCAACGCGAACAAAATCCGACACAAACGACGGGATCGAACACTTCAGAATGGCCGAATTGCCACGAATTACGTATTCGGTTAGAATCTCCGGCTGGTAGTGCTGGTTGATAACTGGTGAGAACAGAAAATTTGAAATGTGATTCAGAACTCAAACTGAAGGATGGGTTACGGGAAGATGGGCTGAACGGTGACCTATAGAAAGACAAATAACCGTAGTCTTCCGAGTGGACCAGTTCGTTGTTTTCCTCGTCGATCCAGGCTTCGACGCGGACAAAGTCCGACACAAACGACGGAATCGAACACTTCAGAATGGCAGAGTTCCCCCGGATGACGTACTCCATCAAAATATCGGCACCGTAGTGTTGATTGATCACTGCGCAAGGTAACAGAAAACGAAAGCTTGGATGAGGAACGGTAACTCAAGAATAGTTTTCACGGGATAGGGATCCTGGGGAAGGTAGGGCACTTGGTTAGACCAATACCGGTATCAAAGGTAGACGCATTGTAAACGGAACCCTCGCTGCCTATCCAGGAATCTACTCTGACAAAGTCCGTTACGAAGCTAGGAATGTTACACTTCAAAACAGCCGTGTTTCCACGGATCACGTATTCGGAAACGACTTCAGCTTCGTAGTACTGATTGACCACTGTCGAATAAATCAAAAGAGAGGCTACCATCAAAACCAAAACAAAATGCGTGGAGTGTAAGGATTCGGGAGTTTAAGAATGCTGCACTGCGAACCGGTTTCAAAATCATCCGGACGACTGCTGTTGCCCAGATATTGGTAAACATTGCCGGAGTCGTCGTTCCACGAGACCACCGTAACGAAGTCGGCCACAAACGATGGAATCGAGCACTTGAGAATCGCTGCATTGCCTCGGATTACGTACGCATTGTTCACCTCCGATTCGTAGTACTGCTGGACGACTGTGAAACGCAATTTCAAACGAAAAACACAAAAATTACAACTTATTCGTGGGAAACGTAAAAACGGTTTTGGAAGGTTTTTTTTTCAGGAACAGGGAAAGTCGAATCGGAGCACCGGGACAAACCCTCATCGTTTTCGGTGGAGTTGATGTAGAAGCTTTGGTTCTGATCGGTGTGCCAAGATTCGATACGGACAAAGTCGGCCACGTAGGACGGGATTTGACACTTCATTAGGATCGAGTTGCCGCGGATGGCGTACTCCTTGTTGACGTCGACGTCGTAGTACTGCGCGATTACTGGAAGGAGGGGAACAGTTTGATGCCTTTAGAAGAAAAAAAACAGCTAGCGGACCGTCGAAATGGTGGAACCACGGGAAACAGGCCAATTATGGTTTTATGAGGGTTCTATGGACTATGTTCTAGACTTGTAGAATGCTTTAAAACCACAATAAAATTTGCATTGTTACTTGGGAGGGAGCATTTCCTATACAAATAGCAAAGAAACTGAATTTCAGACACGGCCTTCTCAGATTTACATGAAACTTTGTTATGGTCAATGATTCACATTTGAGTTAAAATTCGACCATTTTTAATCTCGCAAAACAAAAATGTGATGAAATTTTCTACCCTGTATATTTTTCCAGAAAAGAAGCTCCAGACAAAATAATTACAAAAAATTAATTTATGAAGTGACCTTCTCCGATTTGTATGAAACTTTGCGTAATAATTGGTTGGTTGGTTGTCTTTATTAAGGAGATTTTCAGCCAGACGCTGGTTCATCTCCGGCTTGCGTAATAGTTGGCTATTGGTAAATTCACATTTTTAATAAAATTTGGCCATTTTAAATCAAAATGTTGTCCATTAATTTTTTTCAAAACACAAGTCAACGTTAAGACAACGTTTGAATACATTCAGCGAAATGTTTTGGTAAGGAAATGCAGTGAAAGGGTGCCGAAAACAGTCAATGGGTGCCGTAGCCGACATACCCTATCAAAAATCTAAAAAAAAATCTTTTTTTTTCTCATGTTTTATAAAGAAAATTTACGTGTAAAAAAAACATTTTTCCTAAGTCATCATGGCAAAAACTTGGACTCGAAAAACCGCAAAAATCGATCTTTTGGTTTGGGTTTAGAGTCCATTTTTTTCATGATGAGATAGACAACCTATTTTTTTTTTATAAGAAAAAAAACAGATTTCTTGGCTTTTTCAATTTTTTTTTTAATTTTTCAATATTTGATTAAGAGAGTCAAATCTATGATTGCAGTTAGGCCCTTATGGTTCTGAAATATTGATGTAATTGCGAAAAACTGGTTTGTGAATAGGGTGCAAAGTTGTGTCTCCCTTATCTCAATCTACCTGTTCAACAATTCTCAAAACGTAAACAAACAAAACAATATTGGTTCAAATGGATACAAATCAGTGAAACTATTAAGACCCTGTGTCCTTTGAAACAGATTTGAATGGAAACATGACCCTTAATAAAATTTTCAAAGTTGTTGAACAGGTAACATAACGCCACTGCGTACAACGCTATCACCCATATTCTCGATTACGTTCGAACAGTTTTTCCATACAAAAAAATATTTTTGTAAAAAAAATACGGTTTGAACGAAAACAAGAATATTGGTGAATATTACACAGCGGAAGGAATGTCCTGTGTGCATTTGTTTCGATGCAACTTTTTTTTTTTGCTGCTCTTTTTACCAGTCTTGTTTCCAGTGGTTCCACTCAATACTTGAAGCCTTCTATAGTTGACAGTTGAGCGACGGAATCAAAACCACTAGACGGAATCATTCAACCTGCTTTCGAAGAGGATCCTACCGCAACCGAAAACACCTACACGCCGGAAACAAACAATCGTTTCAACCTGAAATAATGGATAACGAACTGAACTGCGTTGAAGGAAAGAAGGAAGTTGGGGGAAACTACGTAAAACTATGCAAAAACACCATCTCGTCGAAAAGGGGGGCCCCCGTACCGCTAGCTTCCTCCGCCGGTGAGTAGACGTACGTGTTCTCCTCGTCGGTCCAGGAAACGACGTCGACAAAGTCCGCCACGAACGACGGTATGAGACATTTGAGAATGGCCGGATTGCCCCGGATCACGTGCTCTTTGTTGACATCCGCTTCGTAGTACTGCTGAACGACTACGTTTTATGAACCGTATACATGTGGAAAGAAGACGAACATAATCCCGGATAAGACGAATCAGCGATAAAACTACTGGAGAAATATGCATAATCTGCCATCTGCTATTCGAGTGAACTACATCAACCGAAGGGGGGTTTCGACCATGAGACAGCTGAAAATTTGATTCTGGAAAAAAAAAATTAGATCGGACGGATACGAAACATTCGGCTGCGCGCGGATCTGTTGATTGTTTGCTTTATAGCTGATGTGTTTTTTTGTTATGGTATGATTTCACTGGGCTGAAGAATCGGTTTCGAACTCCCACGCCGACGGAATGATGGGGTAGCGTGAGTAATCCTGTGTTCACGACGTTCTGCTTCCATAAACACACCAACTTCATTTTCGTTTTAATGCTTCGAATTATACGTGTCGGATCCCCTGCCTATTCGGTGGCAATAAATAAAACCCGCACCCATTGCCACGGTGTACACTTGTTATCTTCATCTAGAAACACATCGTGTGTTTAGCTTCTTCCCGGTTTCAGGAGCGAAAACGCGGACGCACTAGAAGGGCACACCCCTTCGTTTTTCCTTTATTCGAGAATCGCTCTCAATTTTCGTTTCACTACACTATTCTTCACGTACAGGCATCGACGGATGACGTTGGATTTTTCCATTGATTTAAAGATCTTCTTCATTTGCAGATACTTTTTACACTTTTCATTAGCATCTGCACCACCAGCTGGAACATTTTTTTTTTCAACACGAATTTCACATGCGAACAGTCTTCTCTCTTCTTTTCATGCTGTGTGTAAACCATTATGTTTAGGCACGAGCCTTTTTGGTCTTCCTTCAGCACCTGGATGTATGCAATTTTGGGTTTATATTTTTCTACCTGGTCATTGGGAAACGTTCCAAGTTTTGCATGACTAGTTTCACAGGAAATTTACAGAAAACTCCCTAGGGTGATTTGCCAATTGAT